GTCCAGTTCACCCTAGGGTGGGAGACCCCAGGGCAGAGTGGGCGGGGAAGTTGGGAAGCAGTTCTCTGGAACAGGGCCTAAGGGGGTGGGGAATGGTGGCTTCTTCCAGCATTTTCCAGCATATTTAACTGTGTACACACTGAGTGATATCTTCGAAACAGCCCTGGCAAATCTTCCATTAGAGAATTATCCTCATCTCTGGCAGACAGATGAGGAAACAGAATATAAGGTAAATGGGATGGCAGATACAGTCTGTGCCTTGCCCATGTCCTCAGCCACCTGGTGGTGACCTCTGACCCTGCCTCTATGTGCCCGTGGCTTTGTGTATCTCTGTGGGGTATTTGTGCATGCATGGCATGTGTGTGTGTTCACTGGGCCTTTCGAGTGTAGGACTCCAAGACAGTGAGGGATGGCAGATGACGGGTTTGTATGCTCCTTAGTAAGACTATTGTTATTATTATTATTATTTCAGCATTTTCAGACATGGCTTCACTATCTGTCTCTGGCTGTTCTGGAACTCACTATCTAGAGAAGGCTGCCTTCCAACTCATAGAAATCCTTCTGCCTCGTGTGCACCATCATGCCCGACCAAGACTATTTTACTTACTTATTGAAATGTATTTTATGTGCATTGGTGTGAAGATGTCAGATCCCCTGGAACTGGACTTACAGACAGTTGTGAGCTGCCATGTGGATGCTGGGAATTGAACCCAGGTCCTCTGGAAGAGCAGTCAGTGCTCTTAACCTCTGAGCCATCTCTCCAGTCCCAACTATTTTATTTTTTAATTGTGGTAAAACATAGACCTTTCAGGCTGAGGATGCAGCTTAGTGGTAGAGCACTTGGCTAGCACATGTGATGACCCGAGTTCGATCCCCAGCACCAGACAAACAAAAGCATAAAACATTGAGTTCACAGCCTTTACACTGCTGAGTGTACACTCCACTGTTAACTATATGCACCACATGTGACAGATCTCTAGAACGTGTCACCTTGCAAAACTGAAACTCTACACAGCTCCTCATTTCCTCTGGCCCAGGCCCTGGTGACCACATCCTACTTTCTGTCACTGTATAGTCAACTGTTCTAGGAACTTGGTATAAATAGCCTCATGCAGTCTTGTTCTTTGGTGACTGACATTTAGCATAATGTCCTGAAGTCCCCTCCATGTTATAGAATATATCTGGATTTCCCTTTTCTTCTTTTTGTTTCCAGAGAGGATTTTACTATGTAATCCAGTCTGGCTTGGATCTCACTGTGGCGCCAAGCCTGGCTTTGAATTCACGGTCCTCTTGCCTCAGCTACCTGAGTGCTGGGATTGTAGGTGTGTGTTGCTACGCCTTGGTTGAACTTCATTCTGTTCATTGGCTAAATATCTTCCAGTGTTTTTTTTTAAAGATTTATTTTATTTATTATGTATACAGTGTTCTGCCTGCATGTGTCTTTGCAGGCCAGAAGAGGTCACCAGATCTAATTGCAGGTGGTTGTGAGCCACCATGTGGTTGCTGGGAATTGAACTCAGGACCTCTGGAAGAGCAGTCAGTGCTCTTAACCACTGAGCCATCTCTCCAGCCCCCAGTGTTTTTATATTGACCGCCTTTACTGCTCATCTGTGGGTGGATATTTAGTTTCCTTTTACCTGTCGGCTGCTGTGGCTAACGCCGTAATAAACATGAACATGCAAATATCTTTTCAAGAGTCATTTGGAATATATCTTTCTTTCTTAGCTTCTTTGGGCAGCTACAACATAAAATCTTGGACTAGTGCCAGGCAGTGGTGGCACAAGCCTTTAATCCCAGCACTTGGGAGGCAGAGGCAGGCGGATCTCTGTGAGTTTGAGGCCAGCCTGGGCTACAGAGCGAGTTTCAGGAAAGGTGCAAAGCTACACTGAGAAACCCTGTCTCAAAAAAAAAAAACCAAAACAAAACAAAAAACAAAACAAAACAAAAATCTTGGACTAGAAAAATTTTTTAAAGGTTTTTTTTTTTTTTAATTAAAAAAATGTATATCAGGTGTGGTGGTGCATGCCTTTAATCCCAGCACTCAGGAGACAAAGACAGGTAGATCTCTGTGAGTTCACGGCCAGCCTAGTCTACATAGCAAGTTCCAGGACAACCAAAGATACACATTGAAACCCTGTCTCAAAAAAAACCTAAAACCTCAAAGATTTATTTATTTATTTATTTGTAAGGGTGCTTTTTATGCATGTATGAATGTGTACCACATGAGTGCACAGTACTTGTGGAAGTCACCAGAAGGCATTGGATTCCTTGGACCTGGAGTTACAGGCATTTATGAGTTGTCATGTGGTTGCTGGGAACTGAACCTAGGTCCTCTGCAAGAGCAGCAAGTGCTTTTAACTACTGAGCAATCTCCCCTGTTCCTGAACTGGGTAATTTTAAATAATAGAAATTCATTTCCCATAATCTAGAGGCTGGGAAATCCAAGATTGAGGCTCAGCATTTGGTGCCTAGTGAGGGCTTTCTCAGTGTCCTCTGGGAGGAGGGGCACCGTGTCCTCATGCTGAGCAGGCAGGCAGAAGGGCAGGTGGCTAAATGTTGCTGCACGCGTCTCTGAGAAGGTCCGCAGTCCCACCCACAGGGAAGCCTTCAGGTCTCTCACCTCCTCAAGTCTCCACCTCTTAATCACATTGGCCTTACCTGAAATTTGGAGGAAATGTGTTCAAACCACGGCGATCTAGAAGTGTGATTGTTGGCTTATGTATAGGATTCTCTTCAGAAAATTTCAGCAACCTCTAGTACTGTTTTCCAGGGTGACTACCGAAGTTTATTGAGACAGTTTTGAGATGTGTTCTGCCTTCTCCCCCAAGGAGGTCCCTAATGGCATTCTAATCATGAACCCTTTCTTCCCATTGGTGCCTTCTTCTGTCTCTCACATCTCCACCCCTCCTGGTCTCACCACCCATATTCACTACAAGCACCAAGTCTTTATCCTGGTCTTTTCTGTCGGGAACTCAAGACCTGCCACTTCCTTCGGGTTCTGAAGTTCCCAGGAGGCTCTTCTGAGATCTATTGCTGTGGAACGAATTGCCACAGTCTGGTGGCCGCAGGTGCCTTCATTTATCACCCCTGCTTCTGTAGGTTGACTGGGTTTGGCTGGATGACATTTTATAGAGGCTCTGTTGTGCTGATGTCCAGAACAACTAGGAGTTCAAGGGCGAGAGGCAGGACAGGAGTCTGCTAAAGGATTTTTCTGGAATGGCACGGGTCACCTCTACCACGTTCTAGTAAAAAAAAAAAAAAGGTACTTTTAGGCTCTCTGGATACAGGAGAGATGGAGAAATTAATCATGTTATGGTTTCAAAATGAGATGCCCGCAGAAGCTCTTGTTCCCAGATAGTGGTAGAACATTCAAGATGGGGGGCCTAGTTGGAGGAGCAGGCCCCTGGGCCCGGATTTTCAGGTGCATCTCTTGCCCTTTACCCTTCCTGTCTCTCTCTCTGTGTGCTGTTTGATTGGCCTCTCTGGGCAGGCTCTTGCCACCTCAGAGCTCTGCTTCACCACTGGTCCACAGCGATGGAGCAGGCTGGCCCTGTACCAAAGGCAGGAGCCCAGGCTGGCCCTGTACCAAAGGCAGGAGCCCAGATACCACACTGCAGAAGAGCGTATGGGGCAGGGTATTTTTTTTTTTTTTTTTTTAAAGATTTATTTATTATGTATACAGAAGAGGGCGCCAGCTCTCATTACAGATGGTTGGGAGCCACCATGTGGTTGCTGGGAATTGAACTCAGGATCTCTGGAAGAACAGTCAGTGCTCTTAACCTCTGAGCCATCTCTCCAGCCCCGGGGCAGGGTATTTTTGTGGGCCTCAGGACCAGGACACAAGCCTAGTCAGTAGGATTTGAGAAATCCTAATCGCAGCCTCCATTTTACCTCTACTGAAGACAAATAAGGAAGTCTAGTTGTTTCTATTAGACCTGTGAGCCGAAAATAACGAAAAACCTGAGGAAGATTGATTTATCAGGATCCTATGTTTAAGTCTAGAGTGATAAGGCCTCAAGTGACCCCAAAATGTAGACTCAGCAGCTTTGACAGGACTTGGAAAGCTCAGCGCAGCACCGTTTAGCGTGTTTGGGATAATAAGAAACAAGCCCAGTGGGGCTGGCGAGATGGCTGAGCAGTAAAGGTGCTTGCCTTTGCCAGCCCTGGTGACCATTAGAAGGCACGTTGCAGTAGGAGAGAACTGTCTTCCCAATGTTGTCCTCCGACTTCTGCATGTGTGTTGTCTAGGCTAGCCTGGGCAACTGAGTGAGACCTCCTCTCAACAGAAAAAGTCAAAGGATTGTGTGAGCAGCTCAGTGATAGAGTACTTGCCTACCATGTGTGGGATTCTAAGGTCCATCTCCAATACTGAAAAAAAAAATGTTTCTAGAGATGTGTTTAAGGATTGTGAGCCAAAAGAATTATTCTAGTGTGGGGCGTTTACCCAGCAACCCCACAGTTCCCCAGAGTTTTCTTGAGTGTGGGCAGCAGGAAATATTAGATAGAAGGATTTATTGCGGAGAATCTTGTGGCGATAAACAGATAGAAAATAAAAGATAGCCTCGAGAGGGCCTGAAACCTTTTCCAATGGCCCGACTGTCTCTGCCCCAGAGTTTTTATAGAGATGCCAAGGGGTGGAGCAAAAGACCTCCTCCCCCAGCATAGCCAAGTGCAGACCATCCCAGACACCTGCACTCAGGCCCGTGGTCCTAATCATTCTCTATGCGGACCTGCTGGGTAAAGCCACGAGGAACCCGAAAACAGGCTCCCACATTCTAGATTTCCAAGATAGCCCTCAGATACCAATTATAAGTGTCTTTGTAGGAGAGAGTCATGGGAACTTGAAACACACCTCACATAGGAGAAAATTATGTGATAATGAGACAGAGATTAGAAGGTACAGTCCTTGGAGAGAGGTGGCCATGAGCCAGGGAATGCCAGAAGCCATTAGAAGAGGCAAAGATTCTCCCCTGGAACCTCCATTGGACACACTGATTTTGGTCCCATTACATTGATGTCATCCTCTCCATTTGTTGTTCCTAGACCTCTCAACAGAATGGTTGCCAGCGCTCTCAAGGGAGTGATCCAAGAGAGTGAGGCAGAAGCCACTGTCTCTTTGATGACCATGTCACAGTCTACCATTCCCACAACAGATTATATGGTTGAGCGCTCAACATCGGAGGGAACTTCTGGGGGTCCAGCCCCCAGAGGGTAGGGTGTACTGGTGAAGGCTAGCTGTCTCAAAAGCAGCGGAAGGAGGTGTCGTGTGGCTGGAAGACCAGGATGAACAAGCTGGCTGCAGGGGTGAAATCTGCTCCAGTCAGGCCAGTCCAGTTCCGGGATGGAGAGCCTTTCCTCCATCCTGCTCATGCAGCTTCTGCCTACGATGCCAGGGAGTGGAGGCCTCCTTTGGACACTGCTGGATCCTGTTACACTGTCACAGAGCAAGACAAGAACTGTGGAGCCTGTGGCAGGAGACAATGGCCTCCATTGAGGAATTATGACGTAAAGGAACCAGCAAGTCCACAGCCACCAGTCAGGAAACAATAGGTGTTTCCGGAGGGCCCAGGAGGTGCTCAGAAGAGGTGAAAATGCACACCACCAGCCCCAGCATTCCCTACCCTCTCCGAGGTCTCTGACACTGTGCCAAGAGAGGAATTTCTCTGGGATCTGTCTGAAAAGGTCAGTTGTTAGGAGCACCGTCTTTAAAACCTGGCTTCTGACCTTCATAAAGTTTACCCTTGCTCAGTTCGGGGTGGGGGTTTCCTGATCCGTCTTCCAAGTCTGAGAAAGGTCTCCATCTAGATGCTGGCAGTGGGGAAGGAATTATGGAAAGGTTTGAATGTGGCTCGTGACAGCTTTGTCTATTGCCACAGCTCCTGCTCGACATCTCAGGTCCAGCAGAGTGACATCATAGCTCAAGAACTCTATGCGAATCCAGACATTTGTCTGTCAGCTGGGAGGATGAGGATGGACTTTGTTCTTGGGCTTGAGTTGAGCTCCCGGCCCAGGGGCTGGCTTTATTGTTGTCGTATGTTATGAGTGAAGATATCATTCTGCAATAATGTCTAACAGCCAGAACAGAGAGGGGAGAAAGCCCATTTCTTCAGGACCTTAGCTGGAAGACACTAGCCCAGCTCTTTGCCTCTGCAGATACATTTTGTAGATTTGGGGATTCCTGATGGGAATATGAAGAAAGGGCTTTTGTGGGGAGGTCTCTGTTGATCTGAAGCTTAAGGATCAGAGATCGCTCTGCAAGGCCACCTGGAGTATCTGTGTTGACAGCTGTCCAGCTGAGCACAGGCAGCTATTCTGACTGAGCTTAGCCACTTACGCAGGGTGTGACCTTTGCAAGGTAGTCTTTGTGTAAGTGCTGGCTGGCATTTCTGTGGCTGTTTCCTCTTCCAGCAATCATTTTGAGGAACTGCCTGCCTTCTTTCCTCCTTTATGGAATCAGCGAGGACATTGCAGGGTTGGGCCCCAGGGTGGGGGTTGCAGGAAATCTACCAAACCCCAAATTGCTCCCTGCCTTTATTTACTTGAATGTCTGAGGTCAGGAACAGCAACGTGTAAGAGGAAAAATCCCATAAGTAAAGTCAAATTTCAATTGCAGGGAGAACTTTGCCCTTGAAAGGAAAATAGTTGACAATATTTGTAAAAGAATAGCAATCATATACTTGTGCAAATTGCTACTCCCCAGTTCCACTAACCTGGTAATTTCTAATTGGAATCTGAACTCCCAGAGCATCTGTGCCAAGAGACATCCCATTTGCTCCCCTCTGGGATTTGCCTGGTCCCCCATCTATTCAGCTTAGTGTCTTGGGTTGCTCCATTCCGAAGCCTGCATCAGTGGGTCCCTAAGAAGCTGTTCTAGCCTGTCCTTTGTGATAGTATCTAGAGGGCAGGGAGAGAGAGAGTCAGAATGTCTCCCTCCCCATAATCTCTTCCTTTCTGGGTCCCTGTTTGTTGGGTCCGTTTCCTGCCTAAGGCCACCATTTCTGGCTGGGACCTTCTCTGCGCTGCCACCATCGTCTCTGAGTTCCAGAAGTTGCCACCTCACCTTTGGGAGTAGTCCCCTGATGTTGCTGGCCCTGAGATGAGCGATACCCTGTACTGTCTCCTAACTGACCTGCATCTTTGTATACCGTCTCTGCTAAACTCTTCAAACTGCCCAGGTGAGTGTGCTGCTTGCATTTCCAGGGACACTGGTCCATTCGATATTCAAAGGCTCGTTTTGTATGGTGTCTTTTCCTCTCTGCGGTATTCTTTTCTTCTTTTGAAGGGCCCAAGGAAAACTTGAAGCTGAATTGGAATTGCTGCTGTTTGAGCTTGAAAGCCCAGAACTGGCCTCTGGGGCAGGGGACAGATTGGCTTTGTGCCTCCCTTCAGTGTAAGAACCAACTGAGTTTTAAAAGTCTTGTCAGTGGGACTCACTGAGGATGGTTTCATCCCCGAGGGGAACATCGCAGACTGCTCAGAATACATTCAAACTTATTCTGAGAGGAGGAAGGGAAGAGGAAGGTGAGGCATATGGGAAGGAGATAAATGATCTGTTATTTTATTTACTGCTGTGAGCTTCAAATAGCCAGATTGGCAGGATGCATTGGTGCAGACCTCAGAGGCAGGAACATCGCTGTGAGTTTGAGGCCAGCCTGATCTACATAGTGAGTCCAGGTTGGCCAAGGTTACACAGTGAGACCTTGTCTCAAACAACAACAACAAACAGCAAAACGCAGATCAAAAGTGCAGGACAGCACCTTTCCTGCTTCCCAAGGGAGCCTGGGAGAAGGCTCCCGGGAAATGACTTAGGTTCCAAATTCCAGTGACAGTTACTAAGGCGACATCCTGGGATGAGTCAACAAAAGAAACACTGTAGAGCATCCAGTGGAATGCCATGGGGTTGCTCAGAATGGAAGGATGTCAACTGCTCAGGGAGACATGTCCATGATGAGGAGGGCTGGAACGTGTCTGCTAATGTCACACATTTGAAACTTAAGTTCCAAAGCATCTGTGTTGGGAGTCAAGAGCTCTGCCCTCCTGGCTTAACTAGTTATCCTGGGGGTGGGGCTTTCGTATCGAGAGTGAGTTGTAAAACTGAGTTCAGCCCGGGCTTATTCTCAGCCTTCCTTTTCCTTCCTGCCTTCTGCCACGGGTTGATGTAGAAGTTTTAAGGATTCTTGTTAGACGTCACATGCTTGGGCTCCCTACCCTTCAGAATCACGAGTTAAATGTCTGTTGGGTATAAATTATCCAGGCTTGAGTACTCTCTTGTAGGGACGTAGGACAATGAAAGCTGGCTGCAGGGTAAACATAAGGCCAATTTTGTGGAAAGTGAATGGTCTGTATTTATTTAGCATGTAGAAACCCGTCGGCTGGGGTGAGCCACATTAAGCCTAGGTGAGAGGTATAGCGGAGAGGAGATGAGGGGAGGGAAGCGGACATGTGGGGAAAAAGAACCAGCAATGAACGACACACGCCTCTAGCCCTTGTTCTTGTCAGGAGCCCAGAGTCTTTTGACAAGCCCTCTCTTCTCTGGGCTACATGAAGGTCCCAGGATGCTCAGCCCTACGGCTATCACTCTCATTTTCCAGATGTGAAGACTAAGCAGAGATGACATGAGGTTGTCGGGGCCAAATACTGAACAGTTGCACTTGACTCGTATGAGGTGAGGGGCAGGTACTTGCTGGGGATCCGTCAGGCTGCCGCCAGTGTGGACCATGTCAGGAGACAAGTAACAACTCAGTACGCATTACTACAAAGCCTGTCTTCATGGAGGGGCTTGCTCCCACCTGAGTGGGTTGAGTCCAGGGACCCAAGAGTGTTGAGGCCCTCTTTCTGAAGGGCTTCAGGATGAGTTGCTGGGATCATCCAAGGAACCAGAGTGGATACACCAGAACAGTCCTTCTGAGGAAGGAGAGAAGTGGAGGCTGAAGGATTTATCTATTGGATCCAGATCCTCATCAGTGAGGTTTTCTCCAGTCTCCCTTGAGTTCTGGTCACATGTGGGCTCTTTTGAGTGCGGGCTGAGGGGTCTTGTGAAACAATGCCTGCAGTGTGGCCCCGGGAGCTGAATTCCTTTGGTGACTGTCCACCAAAGCACAGGTGAGCTCCGTGGAGAACTCGGGGCTGGGCAGGGCTATTGATAGCTGTACCCAGGTACCTAATAGAGAAGCAGTCTTCCTAACTGAGAACGGCACACTGGGCACCCGCTGTGCTCATAAGGGCACACGACTTGCATGAACTCCTGGCCCAGCACAGGAGCCATTGCTATGGAGACAGATGCCCCTGGGGCCCTGTTTAACATGGATGCCAGGCATTGTAAAACTGCAGAGACAAAACTGTGCCTAGCACACAGAAGGCACTCAATAAAGTGTGTTGAAGGAACATTCCTGGCAGTGGAGGGGGTTGGGGAGATGGAGGGAAATGCAGGTGTGAGTGCGTAAATGACTTGACAGTCTAGGGAGGTCTGACTCTGGTGGTCCCAGTCTCTCCAGAGAGTTCAAAAGCAGATGGAGGGGGCCCTCGTGGCCTCATCCCAGCCATGAAAGAGGTTGAGGCAGGAGAATAGAAAGTTCAGGTTCTGTCTGGGCAACTTAGAGAGAGATTCTACCTCAAAATGAAAACTAAAAAGAGGGCTGGGGATATAGCTCAATGGTAGGGTGCCTGTTCAGCGTTTGTAAGGCTCTGGGTGCAAGTTTCAATCCTAGTGTTGGGGAAATAAAGACCAGTGGGGCTGAGCTGCAAGTATCCAGAAGAGGAAGGAAAGAGGACTTAATGGATGACTTTGGCCTTTTTCTGCAGAGAGTGGGAGCCACTGTGGTACCCGTATTGAGTGTGGGAAGACTCTGATTAGGGGAGAGTGTGATGGAGCCTTTCAGCTACCCGACTGGACCAAGTGGAGACTTCAGAGAGACTGGCAGCTACCCCATCACTGCAGGAAAGCCACAGCTTGCTAGTACACTGGAGTCCTGGAGGACCACTATTGGATCTTTAAGCTAGGCATCTCCTTGTCTCCTCAGCGGCTCGGGCAGCCTCCTGGGAAACTCTGATGACTTTATCCCTGTGCCTGGTGGAGGAAGGGATACAGTGGGCTCATCAGGCAGGCCACACAGACCAGCCTTTGTGCCCTGTGGCCTACGGGAGGTGTAGGCTGTCTGCATGCTCAGTGTCTGCTGGACTGCAACACAGGCACTCTTTGTGGTGCTCAGGATCCAGGAGACATGGGGGGGAGGCCTAGGGGCGGGTTCCTGTGGGCCAGCTTTTGGGTGGCATGTTGGAGGTAATATGATAGTCTCGTCAGAGATGTGAGGGTAAGGCATGGGATCCCCCCGCCCCTCTGTGTATGTGTGTGTGTGCATGTATGCATGTCTTGGGAGAGGATTCCTTTGGATGAGCCTGGAAATCCCATGCAGCAAACAGACACCAGCTCCAGACCCACTAGCCTGGCCTGAACGAAGGTCTCCTGACTTGCACCTTTGCTAACTAAAGCTGACCAGCACCCATGACCCTCAGAGTCTTCTGGGCTTTAAATATCTCTGGAGCCAAGGTTCCAAATGCAAAACCACAAATACTGTATCGTCTCTGCCGGGACTCCTGGGGCCTAAAGGGAGCTGTACCTCACTCAGGCCCTGACCTCCCAAGGCCAGGATTCACTCCCCCTTGACCGATTTTCCTGCCTTCACCCCTAGCCATGTTTCTGGTGGAAATCCTCTCTCCTTGGTTCAGCCGGGTCTCGGTAGTAGGGACAATCTGTCAGGCCCACTGTTTGTGGAGTCACACAGGGTACCATGCTCAGAAGTGCCCCACAACCTACTGCTGTCATTTTGATTGTTTTTTTTTTTTCTTGAAGAGCCAGAGATTGAACTTCAGGTCTCATGTGCGCCAGGCAAGTGTTCTACCAGCGAGCCTTTTCCAGTCCTTTTCAAAACTGTGTTTTGAGACAGGGTCTTAATAAGCTGCCCAGGCTGACTTTGAACCTGCCATCCTTCTGCCTCAACCTCATGAGTTACTATACCTGACTTGAAATTCTGACTGCACCCTTGTTTTTGGTTTGCATTGGACTCCATAAATGCGTAGCTACTCCTGCTTCAGGGGTGAGGATGAGGGCAGGAGAGGCAGGGCCACAACCCATCAGAGCCTTAGTCACCTCTCTGTCCCTGGGGATTTGAACTCAGGTCCTCGTGCTTGCATGGCAGACGTCACATTGACTGAACTATTTCCCCAGCCACAACAAATTATTTTTTAAATAATTGTTTCATGGGCCAGTGACATGGCTCAATGGGCAAAGGCACTTGCTGCCAAGCCTGATGACTTGAGTTCAATTCCCAGGACCCACATGGTGGAAGGAGAGAATCAACTCCCACAAGGTGTCCTCTGAGCTCCACACATACATTATGGCACACATTCATGTACATGTACATACACAAGATAAGTAAATGTAATAAAACAATTGCTTCATTATAATTATACATGTTTACTGTGAAATTTTTAAGCAATACAGAAAAATACTAAGAAGAAGGTTAAAAGAAATTTGCCATGGCACTATCACCTTGATTAGCTTTTTGGTAAATACTTTATTTTATATTTAGGTGTGTGAGTGCTTTGCCTATGTGTTTGCATGTGCACTGCATTCATGCCTGGTGCCCATGGAGTTAGTAAGAAGGTGAAAGATCACCTAGAATTGGACTGAGGGATGGTTGTGAGCCACCATGTGGGTGCTAGGAATCGATTGAACCCAGCAGCCAGGGCTCTTAACCATGGATTCATTTCTGCAGTCCCGGTAAATACTTTAAAAAAATTAATTAAAACTCTTTTGAGATAATAATGTAATTACAAAATTTCTCTTTCCTCCTTCCAAATCCTCCCATATGACAGACTCCACTCTCTTTCAAACTCATGGCCTCTTTTTCTTTAATTGTTGTTTCATTCATATATATATATATGTATGTATTTGGAATATATTAATATAATAATGAAATATTAAATATTAATGTAGCTGGGCGGTGGTGGTGCATGCCTTTAATCCCAGCACTCGGGAGGCAGAGGCAGGTGGATCTCTGTGAGTTCGAGGCCAGCCTGGTCTACAGAGTGAGATCCAGGAAAGGTGCAAAGCTACACAGAGAAACCCTGTCTCCAAAAATAAAAACAAAAACAAAAACAAACAAACAAACAAAATTAATGTAATATATATTCCTAAATATACACATATAATGTATGCATATTCCTAAATATAACTCCTAAATACACACACACACACACACACACATACACACACCGTATATATATACACACACACACACATACACACACCCATATATAACATGTATAATAAATACAGAGATGACCATTTGGTATTGGATAACCGCTTGCTTTGTTGTTTCTGGGGGAGACTATTTCTCCTGATCTTAGCATTCCTTAGTTGGTAAGTAGTTCCTTGTGTAGATCTGAGGACTCCCAGACTTTCCCCTGCCATCCTTGTTCAGCTCATGTTTAAGTGGTCATGTTGGTGAGGCATCATGGGTGTAGTTTCTGACATTCCTAGGACATAAATCTCACAGCTAACTTCCTGTTCCTCAAGCTCTGATGATTTTTCCTCCCCCTCTTCTGGAATGTTCTCTAGGCTTTGGTGCAGGAGTTGTGTTGTAGATGTATTGGGACTGGGCTCTGCAGCTCTGCATTTTGATTGGTTGAGGTTTTCTGTGATGGTCTCTGTCTGTTGCAAAGAGAAGTTTCCTTGATGAGGGGTGAGGACTACGTTATCTGTGGGTCTAAGCACACATGTTTAGAGCTTGGTAGGGACGATGCTGGTTTAGTAGAGTGGCAGCTGTAGGTTCTCCTCCAAGAGCCATGACTTCACTAGTCCTGGGTGGTTGGCTGGGTTTCTACGTCCAGGCATGGTCTCCCTCTTACTGACCGGGTCTTAAGTCCAGTTAGAGAGCTGTTGGTTACCGCCAAGGTATGTGCACCACTACTGCACCCTTAGGATTGGTGTGGTTCCTGTCAGCTGGGTAGGACTTGTATCATTCCTTCAGAAGCTTGCATGATGCCTTCTGGTCCCATGAAAGCTGGTCCTGGGGAGATGCGGTGGCGGGGGGGAGCTCTCAGGTCCTATCCAGCTTGGAGACAACACTTTTACAAAAATTTTTATTTTTTTATTTTATATGTTTGGTTGTTTTACCTCTGTGTATGTCTGTATACCATGTGCATGCAGTGCCTGTGGAGGCCAGAAAAGGGTGTTGGATGCCGTGGAATTACAGACAGTTATGAACTGCCATGTAGGTGCTGTGGATCAAACCTGGATCCTCCAGAAGAGCAGTCAGTACTTTTAATTCCTGAGCCATCTCTCCAGCCCTGGTGAACACTTTTATAGTGTTTTTTGTGTGTTTATATATGTGTATATTCATATTTATATTTGTACTCACGTATCTCCATATACTTGTATATTTTTATGTGAATATACATTATTATATAATACACATGTATTTATAATGTATCTGCGTGTGTGTGTGTGTGTGTGTGTGTGTGTGTGTGTGTGTGTGTGTGTGTTTAGCTTGCTATTTAGTTTTAGGCAGCTCAAAAATCCAGGACATATAGAAAGCTTCCAAATTTTTGACAACTATGTGGATTTCATTGTATTTCTACATGGTGGCCCTTGACTGACTTTAAATTCAGAATCCTTATGACTCAGCCTCTCAAGGGCTAGGATTCCAGGTGTGTGCCACTGCACCTGGTGGAGCAAATCTTTTTTTAAAAAACACGTTATTGAGGTATGATTAACACATAAAACTCTGTTGATATTTAATGTATACAACTTGATGTGTCTAGAGATAAGCATATATCTGCATAATCAGCAGTCAGTGTCAAAAACTTATTCATGGTCTCCAAATTTTCTTCCCGCCAACTTGTACTCCCCCCCTTTTGTTTAGTGAGAAAAGCACTTAGTATTAGATCTGCCCCCCAACAGACTTTCATGTATATAGCACAGTATTCTTAATCGAAAGGTCCCGGATGTATCTCTGGGGTTTTCATCCTGCATGTCTGACGTTGTGCCCTTTGACCTTATCACCTCATTTTTCTCCTTCCCTAGTCTCTGGCCAGCACCATTCTACTCTCTGTTTTGACAGATTCCATGTGTAAGGGAGACAGTACCTTAGCATAGTACTATATTGCTGTAAATGGCAGGCTCTCCTTTTAACACTTTATTTGTTTTGTGTGTGTGTGTGAGTGTGTGTGCAGAGGTCAGAGGACAACTTCCAAGATACGGTTCTCACCTTTCATCTTGTTGAGCAGGGTCATTCTTGTTTCTGCTGCTGTAAGTACTCAAGGCTAACTGGCCTGTGGGCTTCTGGCCATTCATCTTACTTACTTTTCTATTGCTGTGACAAAACACCATGACCAAGGCAACTTCTAAAAGTAAGTGTTTAATTGGTTTACAGTTTCAGAGGGTTAAAGTCCATGATGGCAGAGCAAAGGTATGGTGTGGCTGAGAGCTCATGTCTCATACACTGGGAGTCATGGGGTCTTCTGAAACCTCAAAACCCACCCCCAGTGACACACCTCCTCCAACAAGGCCATGCTTCCTAATCCTTCCCAAACAGTTCCACCAACTGGGACCAAGTATTCAGATATATAAAGTTATGGGGCCATTCTCACTCAAACCCTCCTGTCTCTGCTTCCCATCTTGTGTAGTACTGATGGGACCACAGGTGCATGGCCCATATCTACTTTTTATGTGGTTTCTGAGGATTGGTCACAGATCATCAGGCTTCAACCTTTACTCTCTGTGCCATCTCTCCAGCCTTCTCCTTCTTTTAGAAACCAAATGATATTCCCTGCATGCACATGGCACAGTGCCTTTTATCCATTTATCTATCTACAGAAATCTAGGGGGTCTCCCTGGGTAGTCTCCCAGGCTACCGTGGCTAACATGGCATTGCGTGTAATCACTCAGGCATCCCAAAATTAATCTTAACTGTTTCCACTTGCTATCACCCTCATCATCACCACCCTTATCCACAGGAATGTGCCCTGGTCCTCCCTTATCCATGGGTGAAATATCCCAAGATCTCTAATGGATATCTCAAATCACAGAAATTATCAAACCCTACATATGCTATTTTCTCATACATTCATAATTATGATAAAGTTTAGCTTATAATTTAGGCATAGTATAAGACTAATAATAGTAATACCAACAGAACAGTTGTCACAATAAAGTATAATAAAAGTTACATGAATGTCATCTGTTTCTCAGAATATCTTTCTTGGGCATGTGGCATGGATGTGCATACATGTTTACATTTGTGAGAGTGCTTGTGTACATGTGTGCATGTGGAGGCCAGAGGTTGGTGTAATGTGTCTTTTTCCATTGCTCTTCTCTTTATTGTTTTTTTTTTTTTTTTTTTTTTCGAGACAGGTTTTCTCTGTGTAGCTTTGCGCCTTTCCTGGAACTCACTTGGTAGCCCAGGCTGGCCTCGAACTCACAGAGATCCGCCTGGCTCTGCCTCCCGAGTGCTGGGATTAAAGGCGTGCGCCACCACCGCCCGGCTGCTCTTCTCTTTATGTGTTGATGCAGGGTTTCTCACTGAACCTGGTGCTTACCAATCTGGTGAGTCTAGCTAGCCAGCTTGTCCCAGAGATCCTGTCTCTGTTTCCCTAGTCTGGGGTTGCGTATATGTGGGTGCTGGGAATTAGAACTCTGGGCCTCCCATCTACACAGCAACCATTTTATCCATAGATCCATCTCTCCAGCCCTCATCTCTCAGAATATCTTATCGAATAGAATGGCTGTCCATTTGTCCTGGAATGCTGTGAGATGATAGTGTCTTCACGTGAAAATGAACTGAGGTACACAGTGTAGGCATTGCGACCTCACATAATGCTAACATTGGGTCTCTACCTATGAGTTCTACATAAAGTTGATGTTAGCTTTATGCAAGGTCATAATGTCTATATTTAAGAGTTCCTTGAGCCAGGAGATGATGACACACACCTTTAATCCAAGCACTCAGGAGGCAAAGGCAGGTGAATCTCCGAGTTTGAGGCCAGCCTGTTCTACAGAGTGAGTTCCAGGATGGCCAGGGCTACACAGAGAAAGCCTGTCTCAAACAAAACAAAACAAAACAAAACAACAACAAAAAACAAGAAACAAGCAAACAAACAAACAAACCCCAAAAGAGTTCCTTGAACACAATTAGAATTTCACTGTAATACTCAACAGATGGACTGATAACCAAGATGGCTACCAGCTGGCAGAGACACAGAGTGGACATTCTGGGCCAGGGATAATTCATGATGTGGGAGGAAGGGAGAACAGTCTGAGTTCATTATGATACTCAGATCAGTGTGCAATATATGCATTATTGTTTGTGTCTCGATTTTTCCATGTTTTGGGGGACCATAGGTGTAAGCCTTGGAGGCTGGATGGAAAGGTACTCTGGCCTGGCGGCGGTGGCACATGCCTTTAATCCCAGCACTTGGGAGGCAGAGCCAGGTGGATCTCTGTGAGTTTGAGGCCAGCCTAGTCTACAGAGTGAGATGCAGGACAGACACCAAAACTACACAGAGAAACTCTGTCTCGGAAAAAAAAAAAACAGAAACAAACAAAAAAAGGTGTTCTGGCAGTTGGGAGTCAAGGAACACCACAAAGTCACTGCGGCAGCTTATAGCCCTGCTCCAGGGAAATTTCCCCAGTGCAAGTGTAACAAGTTTGCTCTGGCAGGGGAGGGTTTCCCAGAAAAGTTGTTACAGCTCTGCTTAGGTCCCTTGGAGTGCAACAAGTCCCTCTGCTAGGGGAAGTTTCCCCAGGGAACGTGATACAGCTCTACTTCCGTCTGCTCCCCTTTTCTCCAGTGGAAGTTGTTACAGCTGGGCTCTACTCTGGTGAAAATGTCACATGGCACAACAAATCTCACTCAAGAGATTTATTGGGAAGGAAGAATCCAGGAGGATGGCTGCCTCTTGGGTGAGAAGCAGCAGCAAACTGAACAGGGTACAGAACTTATATAGAGTTTCTTTTGGGGAGGCTTTCTAAGATGGCTTGGGATTGGTGAATTTTTGTAGCCTGATTTCTGGGGTAAACTCAAGGATTGGTGGGATTTCATGCTTAGGGATTGGTGGAATTCTGTGCTCAAGGATTGGTGGGTTTTCATGTTCAGGGACCTCAGGGATTGGTGAGATTCTGTACTCAGGGATTGGTGGGACTCAGCGGCCTGACTCTGGTGCAAGCTCAAGGATTGGGGGGATTTCAAGCCCAGGTCCTGGGGTCAAGTCAGAGTCAGGGTGTTTTTTCCTTGGTCCTTTTCATCCTGTAATAGGTGATAGACAGTAACCAAACTACAGAAATCAAAGCCATGGACAAGACAGGTCTACCACAAAAAAAAAAAAAAAAAAAAAAAATCTTGTTTACCTGTAATTTAAATGTAACTGTGTGCCCTGCATTTTCTTTTGTAAGTCTGATCCTCTTTCCTGCATCTGCCCTATTAAGGAAGTCTGGCACATGTGGGCTGAGTCAGAGAGCTCCTGTCTCCGCTGTCTGCTTCCCTGTGGCATCGGAGCCAAATCTTCCCAGAGCCTTCCTCCTCAGCCAGGAAGTGCTGCCCTGTGCCCTGCATTTCCATATACTTTCTTCCAAGAGCGTGGCTCGTTTTATCTGATGGTCTGTTACATGTAAGTCCTAGCTAGCAAAGAACTTGCTGCACTCAGTGCCCTTAAAACTCTCGTGCCCCCCTTGGTCCTCCGCTGACACACGAGGGCATGGAGGATCAGAGCATCTGACGGAACCATCCCTTCTGACTCTGAACAGTCCTCTTTTTTAAAATCATAACATGCCAAACCACACCTGGTAGTTAAGAGCCCTATTTGGGGGCAGTTCTGGGAATTGCAGGGACAAAATCCAGCCTTGAGGCTGGTGGGGCAATGTGGGGGCAGGGCGCTTATGTCAGCTCTCCTCGCCCACGTGTACAAAGTCCAGACACTGAAGCAGGCCAGTGGCTGCCTGGCTTTGCTGATTTGCCTGACCCAGCTCCTCCTCTCTTGTCTTCCAGCAATCTCCAGTGGAGTTTGGAAGATGGAATGAGAGAGAGGCGGGGTGTTGGGGCCAGCTTACGGGAAGTCTGCTCATGGAGAAACAGACGCCCCTCACTTTCAGTGCCTCAACTTCTTTTCTGTTGTTGCTTGTTTTAAACTGTTTTTAAGTGTGTGTGTGTGGCGGGGGGTGGGGGGTCGTGGGTATGTGCATATGCCATGGCAGCTGCTTGTGGAGGACAGAGGAGAGCTTTGCGTCCTCTGGAACTGGAGTTACAGGCAGTTGTGAGCTGCCTGACATGGGTACCATGAACCAGACTGGGTCTCTGTGCTCTTAACTGCTAAACCACCTCTTCAGCTCCATGCTTCAACTTGTTTACCTGCTAGATGGACGGGAGGAATTCTGCCTACTCCAATTGTGGAGCAAATGCGATCCCCTTGCAACTGAGTGTGACCGGAAGCTTTCCTAACTGTCCCACCCACCCAGAACTGTGTCCTCTTCTGTCACAGTGACATGTTTTAGTCTGTCACCTCAGCGTTTTCAGCATGTTGTGTGGTGGCCATTCCTGTTTCTGCTTCTTCCTAACACTAGAACAGGAGCTCCATCATTCCCAGGGGACTGAGTAATGGCCAGGGTGGGAGTAATGTCCCTCTATAGTTTCTACATACAAATAGTGCTCAATACATGTCTAGCGTAAACTACTGGCTGCAGGAGAGACAGAGAGGTTGTTCCAGTTCACGGGTCCCCACCCCTACTCTAAATCGAAGTCTTAGATGCACCAACACCAGCCACTAAGAAGCTAGTGATTCACGTGACTCCCCAGCATCCCTGGGTTCCCATGCTACAGCAAGCATGAGCATCAAAAGCTGGATGGATGGGTACCATGACTACAAAGTCCTGTGGTCCTAAATGCCAGGCTCCGCATGAAGGAGTGCCAAGTGCTGATACACCCAACACCAGGCACACCCTTTGTTGCAGCTCGAGCAATGTGTGCTCTTCCCCCTACCCCCAAGTGCAGCAGTTATTGGGGCTATGCATGCTGCATGCCCAGCCGAGTGCCCCTCCAGGTTAGAAGATATCACGTGCTCCCCAGTATACTCAGGCCCCGGCTGTTCTTGCACACAGAAGACCTCAGCTTCTTAGGCTGCACCTTAGGGTGTAGCATCCAGGAGGGTGTCTCAGTTTCAGAAGCCGCAGTCTGGTCCAGGGCCCTACATTCCAATCTCTGCATCCTTCCAGGGCTCTATGGTACTCCCTTCAACCTTAGATGTGTTCCCGAGACTTCCCCAGCCACTACTCAGTCACCTGGGAAAATAAAGCTTCAAAGCTAGACTCATGTTTTGTACCTAACCTAACAATGCAGCTCTGATTTAATCCCAGGCCCGTTTACCTGGGTCATTTTACTCATCCTGAAAATAACAGCAAGGTGGATAGTATTCATAACACTTCCCACAGATGGGGAGAGTAAGGACCAGTGATGTTACTTGGTGGGAAATCACTGCTGGCAGACGGTGTAGGAGGGATTCAGACACACTAAACGCTACTACCTTAGGATATGGGGACTGTGATCGAGTGTGTGCGCTAATGTGTCAATCTGTGGCGCAGGACTGTGACAGTGCGTGCTTAAGCAGGCTTACATGGAAGAGTACACAAGGAGGAATACAAGGACAGGGGGTGCAGCAGGTAAGAAGGGGAGCCCCAGAAGGAGTGTCAAGAAGAGGAGGCTACTCCTCACCACCCTCAGTCCCCACCCAGGCACGAGCTAGGCCTGCTTTCGCAAAAGGAGTAGTGAGGCTGGCTAGCAGAAGGCCGCCTGTGCCACGTGGCATCCTGTACCTGTTGCCAACAGCTGGCTCGCGGACCTCTCTCGGGCTTTTCTCCAGCTGGAACTTGCAAGCCCAACGCCCCGTGTTCTATGACCAGGCGGATTTAAACGTCCGGCTGCATTACCAGTGATCCGGCACACCCTAAGAGTGCGTCCTGTAGCCAGGTCTTGCCTGGAGGCTCAGCATCCAGCCACCCGCGGCCACCCGCCCTTTCAGAGAGTGGGGGAGCTCAGCGCAGGCGCTTTGAAGGTGGAGGGCAGCTCCGGGGAGTCGCCGCTCTTGAGACTCCTTTCTGCAAAGGTGGGGTGCTGAGGTGGCATTTCCATGAGAGCCAAAACAGGGCGTGTCGGTGACAGCTGTCCGCAGCGCAGAGCTGATAGAGCACCCAGA